AAGCTTCATCCTCTTATCACTTTAGTATCAAGCTGATAATTTAATGTTTAGATTCTCACGTTAGTGTTCAGGTCATCATGTGGGGATGGTTTAGTCCATTTCGTAAAAGATAAATGTATGGATTGTCTATTTATAGTTTATATATCAAAATGCACTGCTGAAGCAGTCAACACATAAAAGAAAGAGAAACATAAAGATCTTGCTGAATCAACTCACACACTGCATCCCACCGTAACCCTCAGCGTGACCTCTCACAATCACCAACTTAAGCAATCAGTTTCTCCTTTCAGCAACAATACAACTAACAAAGAAAAGTCGCCAGCTTGTCTTCACACTAACTTCTGGTTCAAGATGACTCTCACGCTGATCTTGATTGAATTTGAAAGAATGTTCAGGATCTATTGCAAGCTTAAACAGCCAGGATCACATTTCATTTTCACGCTGATTCAAGAAACAATACTCAACATGATCTAGCCTGAGTATCAACCAAAGCAACCATACAATGGGTGATGTCGAGTGTTATTGAAGAAAGGAAGAGTGGTGGAAGTCAGTTGATCAAAAAATGATGTGAAGAACATTAAAGAATGGATTGCTACAGGACCAGGACTAAACAAAGCATGGTTGTCTCAATTCCTACTGGCGTAACAGTCAAGGGCATTAAGGGATAGTTTGAATTTCATTCACTCTGATTCAAATGCAACAAGACTCTCTAATCATCTCTCATGTTGGTTGAAATCACTGATTTGCATGATTTCCCACCATTTCTGGTCTTTACTCAAGATCATGAAGGTTCTCACTGATTGAGAAGTTTTTCATGATATTTTTATATTCATAATCGAACCTCCACTAATTATCTCCACCATTTAATCTCCATCATCGAACCTCCTATATCGTCCCTATACATCATCTTTTTCGAGATACCTACAACTATCTAGTTCACTTGATACCTGACCTGATTGGAGAGACTCCATCTCAATGATCAGTCAAAAGCGATATTCCACTTGATTTTAATTCAATGGATTTTCAACATAGCAATGGTTGGTTATGGCAGTCAATGACATGTCAAAAGAAAGGGCATTTTGGGCATATAATTATCAACCGTTATTTTTTATGACAATGCTCTTTTTAGTTTACTTTCAAGAATGGATGATCACGATTCAAGTCTGAAAAACTCAGAACAACAGAAAATTAGAAAGTTTCGGTTGATGTTAACTTGTCACATCAAAAAAGCATTTTTTACAAATGTTGAAAATTCAGAAAAGTCAAAAGAAAAGTGCAGGTATTCAAATGGGAGTTTTGTATAAGTATCTTTTCCAATTCCATCATTTTATTTTCTTTTTTGTCTTTTGTTCTTTTTTTTTTTTTTTTTTTTTCTAATTTGTTTTTTTTGTTATTTTTAATTTATATTATTATTATTATTATTGTTATAAGTTTCGAACAAAATTTTATAATTCAGACGACATTATAAAATTCGAACGACTATATAAAATTGGTTTTTAATTATTTTTTACTTTATATTTTAATATTATTATTATTACAACATTTTATAAATCGGACGATATTATAAATTCAAACGACTATATAAAATCGGTTTTTAATTCTTTTTTATTTTATATTTTATAATTCGGTTTTTAAAATCAGACGACACACACACACACACACACACACACACACACACACACACAACACACACACACACACACACACACACATATATATATATATATATATATATATATATATATATATACTAGGTGTGAAACCCGTGTATTACACGGATTTGTTTAAAAATAAAAATTTAATACGAATATATATAAACATTAAATATTTTATAAAATAATGCTTTTGCGTAACAAAACGTAATCTTCTTGAGCATTTATGAAAGAAATCAAATTGTTTGGAGCATTTATGAGAATTTATTATCAAATTAATAGATTGATAACTTTACATATATATAACCCATTAGAATTTTTTGGAAAATTATTTTAAGAAAATTGAAATTCCCAAAAAGAATAACAAGTCGAAAATAATAATTTTAAAAATCCTAGAAAATGACATGTATCAAAATGAAGGAGAAGATGACAAGTGGCAAAAATATTTTCATTTATTAGGAAGGATATATATATATATATATATATATATATATAGATTGAGTTTAGGGCATTTCTCACACATGATTCATTCCAAACCAAGTAGATAAGGAGAGTTTGGTGACTTAAGATGATATGCATTTTAGATATATATAATTTCGTTTTTTTTTTAATTCTAATTAGTTTTAGTTAATACTATTTTTTTAGTTAGTTTTCTTTTAAGTTAGATAATAATAATAATAATAATAATAATATTTTATATTTTAATTAGTTTTGTTAAATAATAATAAATCTGGTTTTCAAAAATATTAGTTAGCTAACATTTAAGTTAAATTGTTTCTAGTTGTTAAATTTATTTCATTTTCGTTTGTTTAAATTTTTTGCTTTTATATTTATTTTGCTTTTATATTTAAAAAAAAAAGGCAGTGTGTACGTTGATGAGACTCCGCAAACCATGTCCATGATCTATAGTACAACAACATGCTATCAGGAGACATCACCATCCCTCGTATCCTTCCGCTGCAACAGATGATTCACTGATAGTTTACGCTGCAACTCATGATATGCTAATGAGACAACACAAAATTATGTTTATTGCTTTCTTATCATTCATAGATGCTGTAAAAAGGGCATTGTTTATTGATGCTTTCAACATTATACTTAAGATGTAGTTGGTTCTTTTATTATTTAATTCTTTATTAATTAGTTTTGACATGATCAAATTGGGGGAGATTGTAAGGTCGAACCTTAAAATCTGATTAGCCAAACACTATCACACGTTGATCACCAGCGTCAGTGACAACTTTAGTGGCAGCGCCAATGCGTATGAAGCCCAGCGTCAACGTGTAACGTTTTGTACAGTCGTATTTCTATTATATGTAATTATAGTATTCTATTGTATTTTAGATAACAGATCTGATATCTTGGTGATAAGGATCAGTTTACATATTTAGATTAGATTAGAATCAATCCCTTGATTAAAGGGATTCTCTAATATAGATTTGTATATATTCATGTAATAGGGTTAAATCCTAATTATCTTTGTGATCGCTTTGTGCACCCTATTCTCTTTGTGAAAACCTTTCTTAGTGAAAACCATCTTTGTGATAATCATATTGTTTTTACTTGTTTATATCCAATCATCGAACCTACAATATATATATATATATATATATATATATATATATATATATATATATATATATATATGTTAACGTATCCCACTAGGAATACGTCAAAGATAACGAGACCGTTACCCAAGGATAAACAGTCAATGGTCGCTGCCCGAAAAATACTAGGTTTAGGCCCTCGCCTCCGCGATCTCACACTTATGCCTCGGCGCCCTAGCGGCAAGATCAGGCCTAGAACGAGAAGCTCCGGTCTACAGCAAGACAAAATAGTACCAGACGCTTCCCAGAGTGACAGGTGTAGCACACAACACTCTGCCCTATGGTACTTCTGCACTAATAGCGAGCAACCGCTAGTGGAGTACGATACACCAATAGGACACCTCCACGTCCTGTTGGCTTAGAAAGGACAAAAAGCCATTGTCGGGGGGTCTGTCCCCATGACCGAAAGTATATAAAGAACCCTTCTTCACCAAGAGAAGGGATCGTCTGTATCTTAAGTTAAACCCTTAGTTTCTTGTCTAGATACTGACTAGACCGTCAGAGTTTCGTTCCGGGATCCCCTCCCAGACGACGACTGACGTCAATTCTTTCTTTGTTGTGATTTCCAGGCTTAACACAATCAAGACATCTAGTAACGACGTTAAGTCCCGATGACATATCACAACATATATATATATAGATATATATATATATATATAGATATATATATGATATAATATATATATATATATTGAAGTGCGACAAACATACCCTCGTTATTATACAATACATACAATACTACATTAAAAATTATTTAAAAAAGCATATTATTATTATTATTATTATTATTATTATTATTATTATTATTATTTAACTTCTACAATTAGATTTAACATATGTATTATCTATAAAAAATTTTAACTAAAATACATTTAAAGAATAACTCGACCGAGAGTTTGATCTTTACCGGAAATGATAACTAGTTCCCTTACTGATTTGGCGTCTATCTAGCATGTGGCATTCATGTAGATTTTGTCATTTGGTTTCAATTTTTAGAATACCTATACAATTATTTTAATACTAGTTTATAACACGTGAGAACCACATTTAAAAAATTAATTAACATTTCATAACAAAAATTCAAAATTATTAATCAATTATCTTAAATAAATTATTAATTGACAAAACTGCAAATTTGGTCCCTGTGGTATTGAAAAAACTTTGGATAGAGTCCAAAAAGTTTTCAGCTTGCATGGAAGGTCCAAAATCAAGGTTTTTCTGGGCTTTTGGTCCTTGATACACTTGAAAAGTCCATTTTACCCTTTTCATTTCTTTTTTCTATTTTCTTTATTTATTTTGGTATTTAAATAATAAAAATTAAAAATTAAAAATTAAAAAATAAAAAATAAAAAATAAAAAATAAAAAATAAAATTTCACCCAACCGCTCTCTCTCTCTCTCTTCTCTCTCTCTCTCTCTCTCTCTCTATATATATATATATATATATATATATATATATATATATATATATATATATATCTCGGTGTATTTGTCAAAACTCAAGAACACATACATACAAACTCCATATTTTCTAGGGTTCTTCAAAAAAAAAAGAACACAAAACATAAAACAAATACACTCATAGATTTGGTTATGTTTCTGTTTATGTTTCACTATCGGGAATGCAAAATCCGTTTTTGAATCTCGTTGAAACACCCACACACAAATCAATTTCTGGGATTAACACCTACACACAAGTCGATTCCCAGAAATGAAAAAACACACACATACACACAGTAAAATCAATGAGAATCCAGGTGAAATCGGACATAGAATTCGACCAAATCCGATTTTAGGTGAAATGGGTTTCTCTCATTGTTAATCAGTTGGAAAACTAAATCCGATTTCAGGGGGTCCTCCATATCGGTCTCTATCTCACTAGTGGTTGTGGGCGGCGAAGGGTTATGGGCGGTGACCGGCGAGCTTGACTTCTTAGGTAACATCTCGTGCTCTATTGGGATCGATCCTGAAAAACCATTTCTATTGAGCTGCAACTGAAAGAAATCTACATGGAAAGAGGGTACGAGATCAAGAAAGAAAACTACATGTGTGTATGATATACCAAGGGAAGGAAGCTGAAAAAGAAAAGAATGTATGCGTGAGTTATAAACCATAAAAGAAGAAAGAAAAGAAATCAGATGCGTGAGACTGAGAAGGAAGAAAGAAATCAGATGCGTATAATCTGGTAGCCAAGTAGTAAAAAATTTGGGTTTTTTTCCTGATTTAATAAATGAGGAAGAAGAAGATGGAAAAAGAAAGAGAAAGAGAAAGAGAGAGAAAGAGTCAGAGAGAGAGAGAGAGAGAGAGAGTATGGTGGGGGTGGGAGTGGAAATTTTTTTTTCTTTTTTTTTTAAATCATAATAGCATTAACATACTTATAGAAAAAGGAAAAAAGAAATCAAAAGGGCATAACTGTCTTTTTAAGTTTTTTTTAGACCAAAACCTCAGAAAAACCTTGATTTTGGACATTCCATGCAAGCTGAAAACTTTTTGGACCCTATCCAAAGTTTTTTGAATACCACAGGGACCAAATTTACAGTTTTGTCTTATTAATTAAAAGATTACTTTTTAGTAATATAAAATTATAATCATTGATTTAAATAAATACATGACCTTATAATCGGTATTAATTTTATTTTAATTTTGATTCTAATATTATTAATTTAATATAATAAAATGAAAATTTTAAAATTTGAAATTTGTAATTTGAAATTTGAAATAGAGAATCAATAGGTTGACAAATAAATGACATTAATTAAGAGGCTTAATAGGATGAAACATGATAAAAGAAGAATAAACATATTCTTTTATTAAAAAATTAGAATAGGAATAATAAATATTTCATTTATCTAAACGATTCATGAAAATTATGAACATAAAAATGAAAGCATTTGCAATAAGAAATTGTGTTTAGCAAAAATAATGAACATGGTGAACTAGAGACATAAGCTCAAAAGCAAGTCTTATCCCAACTTCTTTGATGAGATTTTTCTTTTTTTTAAAATGCTTCAAAAATAATACATTCAAAGTCAAAGATAATGAAAGAAGAAACAACAAAATAAAATTTAGGAACTTAATCAACATATATATATATATAACTTCCATGTTTCCTACCACATAAAAACAACCATTCTTTATACAAACATGAGTCTTGAATGATTACTATCAAAGTCAAAATCGATACATAACCCAAAAAACTTACTACAACTTTATCAAATTTCTAAAACAATAAGTACCCAAAAGATACCACCCAACAAGAATAAATGCAAACAATCCCAAAAACCAAACAAAACTAACTCCTCCAAAAATAATCCCCACAAAAAATATAATCACAAATGGCAAATAAGATTGAATCATAGATTTCATATTCACCCATTTTCCTTTCATCAAAATCATTATTGCTACATTCACCACATTCCACCCTCCACCTTGAAACTCCAATCTGTTCAAATTGTTAGCCACAAATGAGTGACAATTACAAGTTAAGATGTTATATGTGTGATGTTGATATTCTTGTGTGCTTTTTCTTAAAAAATCATCCCATGTATGTTCATGTTGGTTTCTTCCTGACTCCACTAGCTTGTATTCTTGTTCACTTCTGTACATGGTAGCTGGATGGGATGTTATGGAGCACTGTTGTAGATCAAGGGTAAAATGGTCATTTACTCCTAACGTTAAAAAAAGAACAAACTTTGTGTATAACAGTACTTTATCCATTAGATACGGAGTTATGGAATGCTGTAGTCAACGTATGTTTAGTTTTATTTATCGTTTTTAGTCAAAAGGGTAAAACGGTCATTTAGTCCTGTCGTAGAAGATGAAGGGTAAAATGGTCATTTAGTCATAACATTCAAAAAAGAAGCAAACTTTGCCTGTACACTTTATCCAGCAAAACATGGTTACGGAGAATTGTAGTCAATGTATGTTTACTTCTTTAACTTCTAGACAAAGGGTAAAACGGTCATTTATCCTTAGATTCATAAAAGAAACACAAACTCTGTGTGTACAGCACTTTTATAACAAACATGGTGGCAGGATATGGAGTTATATATAAACTATAGAGCACTGACACTGTAGTCAACATATATTTACTTTATCATCATTTCTAGACAAAGGGTAAAATGGTCATTTAATGTTATTCAGTTCAAAGAAGAAACAAGCTTTGTGCATACAATTTTTAAGTGCTCCAGACATCATTTACCCATGACTTAATGAGAACAAAAAGAATCAAGCCATTAACCCATTAAGTTATGTCTGAGTGTTTTATTTTATGTATTCTTTCTGATAAAGTTACTTATATAAATGATGTTTTACAAATTTGCCCTCATTTAGTTTTGATCAAATTAGAAGTGAGTGTACCTTATCTTTACTTATTTGAATGTAACGAGTAACAGCTCCAAAAGTGAAGTTATCTACACACACAAAGTTAGGTCCTGCAAAGTCTAGAATGACTCCATCTTCTCTGCCTATACCAATATGACCAACAAAAGGAAGAAGCCATGAAACAACAGGAAGAGGTGTCCATACAATGCAGCATGGAAAACGAGATCTTGATGGATCAATTTGCATGTTATGTGTTGGAATCTTGTGATCGATCATCATTGTGTTGTGTTCTGTATCTGATTCCAATTCCATTGCAAGATCTGCACACAGTAATATGTGAATTGATTTGAGCATCTTTTTGTGCAAACAATATCATCATTAATCAGCAACACTATAACTCATCATCATCATCACAAAAGTATGATTCTTATAGTTAGTCATATCGAGATCACTACGATTTGTCCAATTTATCATTTCTCAATCGAGCTTAAATTTGTGAAATATAGAAACCTAGCCAGTAATGGCAACAAAATTGACAGTTAGCACCATGTGTAAGAACATTGCCCTAATTTTCCATGATCAACGAAGTACAGATTTTCCAATTTATCATTTCTCAATTGAGTTTTAAACCTGCAGTCGGTAATCGCAACAACAATGACAGTTGCAGAATGTTTTTGATCATGATTAACACATAAGAAACAAGAATTCGGCATAAATCTACATGACAAACGATCTACACGAAACAAACTAAAAGTGAACTCATTTACCCCGAAATATCGAAATTGGGAAATTCCAGTTTCTTTTGAACAAGATCTAACACGAACAAGCATATTCAAATTAAGATCCGATAATCTGAAATGACGAACAAGCGTATAGAAAACTAATTCGGGGTACCTGTGTTACGATCAACAACCCTTGAACAGGAAGTTATGACGATGCCAAGATCCAGGAACTGACACCTTCTTTTTTAGGTTTAAAAAAAAGTCAAGATCATACTTTGACCAATAGGGAGGACGATGTAGATAAAGATAATTGTATAAAATTTTGGGAAAAATCAATCTTTTAAAACCACCCAACCAGTAGAATCACTTGGACCGGACCCGATGAACAAACCAATTGTTGTTTTCGTAAGCCATGATTTCGTCATGGGCCTTTATTCATGGTTACCATATCATGTGTTAGCACGTTAAGATGTAATCTAAAGAAAACGATTCTCCTAAGATTAAGTTTTCGGGCCTCTATTCACGGTTACCATCTCATGTGTTAGCACGTAAAGATGAAATTTAAAGAAAACAGTTATCCTAAGATTTGAACTCGGGACGTTTAAGATGCAAGGAAAACATCTTAGCTAACTTCACAAAGATAAGTTTTTGTCTTGGATCACTTGCGGTTTTTGTTGAAAATGAATTTGGTATGCTCAATTTTAAAGCAAAAGCTAAAATCGAGGTGCACAAGATTTGAAGCCAAGTCCCTCCATATATTTACTAGATCCGTATATCTGTTAGAGCTTTACCATTGAACAAGAATTATTATTACAATACATATTATCCCCATTAAATATAACTAGTAAAAAAACAAGTGCTTCACTGTAAGGCCGGTTTCTTTCTTTTTGCTAATCTTTAAAAAGAACTAAAACGAAAGTAGGATGTTGTAATTGGTTGACTCTAAAAGTACAATGCTTAAAAACAAAATAAAGTAGAAGTAGATGTTGTAATCATTAGCAAATTATATTTAGATATAAACAAATGAAAGTACAATGCTATCATGGACAACATATTGCTATTATCGGAAAAAAGTACAAGTACGTTTAGCATCCATGACAAGTGTACTTTTGCATAAATCCATGAGCAAGACAAGGATGACAAATCTCAAAATTTCACAAATTGGCCTTCTCTGAATGAGAATAACTCTGCATAACCACAGTTCTATCAAAAGCTTCATTTAACAAAAAAAAATGAGTAATGAATCCTCAAATATTTCAAACGAACCAATATTTGATCTAAGAACACCAACAACTGCTCTTTGTTTTCTATTGCTACCTTTAATGAAGAACCTTCAAGATAGCCAATGAAGCAAAATAAGGGAGAAATTCATGAAATAGCAATGTACTTTATCTTGCTTATTTATAATAGAATTCTACTTTCTTTTCTTTACATTACAACATTGTACTTTGAGAAAGGCATCCAGAATATTGCTATAAGCCTATAAATATGTAAAAGTTTATTAAAAATGCATTGCTACATCCTGCTAGTTTAAAAAAACCATTAAATTTCAATGAAATATATTTCTAGATTTTTAGAAAGAGATAAAAAGCAACGCTATATCAATGTAGATTTAAAAAATTAAATTTTTTTGGTGTGTTTCTAATAACTGTTAGAATATAGTACCGTAATAACATGCGAAAATGTAGATCATTCATCAACACTATCTCCAACCCCAAACCACCAATATAGTAACCTAAATGCCACATAACGACCATTACTTCAATACTGCATCCTCGAAGAATGGATCCAAAAAGAGCTCCATTTGTCAACACTCCACAAATTATTAGAAGATAATATGGAATGAATAACGATCCTATGAAAAGTAGGATGAATTACTGATTTTAATGAAATGTATATCTTGTTAGGGTGCAAAGTTCTCCTTCGATGTGACTTACCCTCTTTAGATGTGTAATGATTTTAGCCTTTCCTATAAATAAGAAGTGAGTGACTCCTATTTTATGTAAGAACCATTTGTGAGATTAATCTAGCGAGAGAATTATTACAAGACCCACTTTGTAATAGCTTACTAGATTAATGAGAGCTTAAACGAATTATTTACTCTTTGTGTTCTTCGTGGTTGATTGATTCACTTAATCTTTACATTTCCGCATTCGTCATCATAATGGGGTCACTAAAATTGGTATCAGAGCAGGTGCTTGAAGTTTTCAAGAAATTGATCCATGATGACAACATGATTTGGTGAATCATAAATTGTTGTAAGTTCTTCATTTTTTAGAGTATTTTTGGTTCTATAAATCGAATTGTTCTTTGATCTTGATTCAAATTCGATTTTCCCTCTCTAGAATTCATGTTATTTTTGCTTTCTCTCTCTAGAATTCATGTCAAAATCACTTTCTCTCTCTAGAATTTTGATCAATTTTGCTTTCTCTCTCTAGAAGTTCATTCGAATTCACTTTCTCTCTCTAGAGATTTCTTTCACATTCACTTTCTCACTCTAGAAATATCCAAGTTCTTGTGATCTTTTTGTTAATTGATCAAAGATGGTGTGTTTGGATTATGATTATGGGATCGTAATGATTGAATATGTCAAGTACAAAGTCAATGAAGAACAATATTATGGATTATTATTGAAAGGTGGATTGATTACATGGAATACTTTGATTTCTTATGGGAACAAGAAAGATGATTATGAAAATTTATCTTTCAACCTCTTTGTAAGATCCAAAATCTGGTTGATATAACAATGGATATGTTAGTCTGGTATGGAAATAAAAATGAGGGAAGAGAAAAAAGAATTGTTCAGAAAGCAATATGTTTCTTTGATTGAAGATCCAAGGGATATTCATGCTCTTGAATTTGTTGAAGATGTTCTTGAAGAAGTTCATCTTGTTCATGATGTTCATGATGTTCAAGACAAGGGAATTCAATGTGATTCTCATGAAATTGAGAAAGTTTTTTTTTTAATTGGAGTTCAAACCGATGATTGTTTGTATTCTTGTGATTCGTTTGAAGGAATGGTGCTTTATAGAAAGCCTTAAAGTCCAAGAAGTTCAAATGTATCAAACTCCAAAAGATTTGATGCAAAGATGCAAAGTTCAAGTTGTGAAGGATGAAGTTGTTTTTGAATTCAAATCTTCAAGATCCAAAAAGATGAAAAGAAAAAGAAAAAGAAGATCAAAAACAAGAAAATTTGGGTTTCTAATCATAATTCTTCAAATGTCGTTTTGAAGCCGAAATCAATGAAGAAAATTTGGGTTCCAAAGAAAAAATCATCAAATTTCGTTATAAGAATTCTACTTTCTTATTTATAATAGAATTCTACTTTATTTTCTTTACGTTACAACATTGTATTGTAACAGTACGCAAAAGTGTATATCAATGTAGATTTAAAAGAATTAAAACTTTTTTGGTGTGTTTCTAATAACAGTTAGAATATAGTACTGTAACAGTACGCAAAAGTGTATATCATTCATCAATACTATCTCCAAGCCCAAATCCACCAATATAGTAACCTAAATGCCACATAACGACCATTAGTTCAATATCGCATCCTCAAACAATGGATCCAAAAAGAGCTCTGTATGTCTACACTCCACAAATTATTAGAAGATAATATGGAATGAATAATGGTCCTATGAAAAGTAGGATGAATTACTTATTTTAGTAAAATGTATATCGGAATTTTATAAATCAGATCTCGTCAGACATGGAATATTTTATCTTCCATAAATATCAACACCAAATATCTATAATATATTGTATACCATATTTTAAAAAGTTGCCCTAGTTGATCTCCAACAGTTCCTATAGGTGCAACAATTCATTAAAGGATGCAAATATATTAGGGATAATCAGTGAACGTAAAATTAGGCCTAATTATACCGAAGTTAGTCCCAGTGAGCAAAGCAAATATGTCTGATTTTACCTCCATCTTGTTTGTGCTTCCTTGTTGATTCTGAACTTGAAGAAGAAGAAGGAAAAACATACGTAGTTTCAAAATTGATAGCAAAAACCTAAAAATTATGTGTGTAGACTTAAAAAATCAATCCTATAAAAAGGTCAAATTGAGGCTATATGATATTATAAGTATCAATTCCATGAGATACATTTGAAACACATTCATCCATTTGTAAAGATATCATTTCCACTCGCATGTTCAACCAACTCTATAAAAAATTACACAAATTGAAATTATTTCAAAGTTTTAAAGTCAAACAGAACTGGAGAACCTATAATACCTCAACATCATATAACAATCATCATATTTTTCTGCCAACAATTCATCCAAAAGGAGTGATTGTCTAAGTATATCAACAACTCTTAGCTCCTCAGCATCTCGAATATTTTCAATTGAGACACAGTTGAATCGTCTATCAGTTTTTCTTCTAATGCTCATTTTCTTGAGAGAATGTTTGAACTTGGTTGATGCATTTAATGCTCTCTTTTTCAGTGAATCGATCTTTGTCCTCCTTTCATCATTTGAATTTTTAAAATCAGATTTTTTTTTCTCTTCTCCCTGATCTCTCATCATTGCATAATGACCCCTCAAATACTATGGAATAAAAGATACTTGAGAACATGTTTTCAAGTTTAAACACCTTAATGAAAAATCTTACATAACTCAGATAGCATAAATGAGATTCAAAATAAAAGAAAACAAAAGGTAATGCTAAAGATCCCCAAAAAGAACAGTATTAATGAAGATAATTAGGAAACAAAAACCCTAGATTAAAACAATGATTTACCATTACTTCTCAATGAAGGAGAATACATCACCACAAAAAATATAAACCTGATGAAAAAATATCCTAAACGACTTCTTGAATCCTGTGTGGCCAAGAGGTTTTTTATGGAGAGGTTTAACAGAGGGTAAGAAGTTTTTTACTCAGAAGCAATGTCAATGAAGCTGATTTCTTTCATAAGATACACTAGAAATAGCAATTACATTACCATGAATGAATGATAAGATATACATGTATTTAAAGCAGACCTGGAGTATAGATTGGTCTAAGAAGTTTTCTCGATGTTTCATATCCGTCTTTAAGTTGTGTCAATGCCTGAGTCAGGTGGTTTAGTTGTTGTCCCTTTACTTCCTTACGCAGGAGTCAGAGGCTGCAATCGATTAGCTCCATCTCTCTATCTATAATGGAAACCCGATGATTAAATAAGCAGAATGGAATCCAAATCAAGAAAAGAATGAAAAAAATCACACCTAGATACCTTAAAGAATCTTGAAGGTATGAAACTGCAGATAAAACCCAAATGCCGATGGTTTAAGGCGAGCAACAACAGGGATTTGGGGAGCATAATAGAGAGTATGTGATATGGGTGAAACGAACGAAAGATGGATTTGAGATGGGGTGGGGATTATTGATCAAAGTAAACATATAGTGGGTGAGATGGCAGTGGAAAACAGCTATTGAAAGAGAAGAACAGTGAGCCGATTTCAAGCCATAAGTCGATGAACAGTAACCAACCGGTTATTGTTCTTAAGCCTATAATGTTTTAAAAGTATATACAACGTATATTCATGATATATGTTATTTTTAATTTTTTTTTTATATAAACAAGTACTTTTACCTATCATTCGTGTGTGTGAATATATATATATATATATAATATATATATATATATATATATATATATATATATATAGGGGTGAGATCCTTTGAGAACTCATAGTTTCCCGAGAACACGAGAACTAAAAGTGGAGCGTTAGAATAAAATTAACTTATTAAGGGCATGATTGTCATCTTACCAATCTCATTTAATGTTTAATTTTTTGTGTTATTGAAAATATTAGTAAAAGGTCTAAGAATTAACATAATAAATCAACTTTTTGGATTTAAAAAAAATTATTTTTGAAAAAAATACAGACCTTTTAATTTTTTTTAGAAAACATGCTTTTTTAAAAAAAATTGAAAAATATATATTTTTTTAAACTGCATATTTTTAAAAATCAACAAATTAAAAAAAAATTGATTTAAAAAAACTATATTTGTTTAACAAAACAAATCAATGTTTTTGGTGCATATGTGCATATTTTTTCAAGTGCATATATGGATATTTCTTATGCTATAATATTCATAAGTAAATCATAAAAAAACCCATTTTTATTACTAGTCTATAAACGTAATAGTACAAGTATTTTATTCGATACAAAATAAAATATAAAAAACAAAAAATGCTACAAAATATTAAAGCGTTTTCATGTCTTGTTTTCATGTCTTCATGTCAAGATTTCCATATTTTCCTCAATTTATCACTTTTCATCTCTTCAATATTTTCCACAAATTCTTCCATATCTACAAGAAAATTAAAAAAATTGATTAATACGCAAGAACACCCACAAAAATGCATATGTATATATCATGTAAGATTCACATATGATTATATCATGTAATATTCACATATGATTATATAATGTGAAATTCACACATGATTGTATCTTTTAAGATTTAATTGTGAAATTCATAGGAAAATTTTAAAAAAATAATTAACAAAGAACACTCACACAAAATGCATGTGTGCAAATAAACGTAATTTATATGTGATTCACTTGTGATTTACATGTGAATCACATGTAATTCATATGTGATTCATTTGTGATTTATATGTGAATTACCTGTGATTTACATGCAAATCACATATAATTCATATGTGATTCAATTGTGATTTACATGTGAATTACATGTGATTCACTTGTGATTTACATATGAATCAATTTACACTTATAATCTTGCTTCTAATTAATTACTAAAATATTATGCCAATTCACACAAATCACATATGATTTGTAATTGATTATTCCCACTAGGAAATTAATTACTACACAAGTTATTCTTACAACAATTGACCAACATATATTAAAATTAAATGCAAGAATGTACCTTAGTTGAAGATGAAAACTACAAATCCTTATTTCTTATCTTTTTTCCCCTCTGCATCCATATATCTACACTAGCCATGTATATGATCTTGTCATCCCCAATGAACAACTCCTTGTATGAAGTTTCACTTGCTCAAACTCAATTTTGAAAAAATCTAAATGACAAAAAGAATAGAACTTGTTTGTACCTTTAATTGTCGAATGGCTTCATGTAGTGTCTTCACATCCTCCTGTAGTTATTCATTAACAACTTCCTTGTTCATGATAGCTTTTGCATGTTTGGAAAAGCTCAATGTACTAAGAGTCTCACTCTTACAGTTGTTTCATTAAATTATAAAAAAATTAAAACACACACATAAGTAAAAGGATCAAAAAGAAAATGTCATGTTATTGTTACCTTTCTACAGGTGAAATGGAACAGACCATGGCAAGTTTTGCATTACCACCAAGAGATTCATACGACAAAAATGTCAGCTTCGAGTCTCTATAAGGGATGTGCCTTTGCTTTACTATTTGGGAAACCTCTGCTAGAATGTTATTTAAGATTCTACAATTGTCAAACATAAATGAATTTTAGAAAAGATCAATAGAAATGAAATCAACAAAACATAATATAAATCATATGTCATACCCGAGTTGTGAAAGTGAACAATTAATATTCCTAACTTCTTTTAAGCTTTCAACATCGTAAAGCTCGACCTGATCATGTATAACAGTCTAGTGTATGATTCCCCTTTGCCTAATCATAATCAACATGGTGAGATTGATCAGAATAATACTGCCCATCAGGACCTTAATGAAATAGTTGAAAATGTTCAAGTTCAGCCAAACACGGTTGTAGAAGAACAACAAGCAGATGGCCACACCTATGAAGACAACGCACCAAATAGTTAAAAAGAAACACACCCTAATAATACATAATTGTTTTACATATATAATTGCATCAAAAGCATTTGTCTTTTCTTCTAATTGTATTTTTCTTTTTCTTTTTCTCTTTTTAGTATTGAAATCATAATATAACGTTCACATTGTACAGGTCTTGTGTTTATTGGTCAAGCATCAAAATAGGTGGATAGATGAGTTGGAGAATATTAAAGAGTAGAAAGTAGCAGTTGTCATAATCAACCTAAATTACATCTAAATAAGTTTAGAGGTAATGTGCTTTGACAATCCTTCTATTTAACCAACACAATTAACCTAACATCACTTGAACTTTCTTTTCATTTACATTTAATCCATTTTTAAGGTGTTCAATGGTGAAACTCTATCAGGATATTTCTCTCTGATGCGAGAGGATTCCGATTTCCTCTTCTCTACATAAACAAAAAGGAGAAATTTAGGTTTAGCAATTGATCTTATTATCTAATTGCACATCTTGATGCAATAATCGTTTAGAAAACAGACATCGAAACACCCAATTAAACAAATATTCTTATCTAATGATCAAGAATGAAATAGGAAAACCTCAAAAGAAAGGAAATTATGATTAAAGGCACAATACCCAATGGGTGTTCAAGCTTGAACGAGCATTTAGCCATATCTGCACTCTGATTGCTTTCTGCATATTTCAAACAATTGAAAAACATTACAACAAAACCCACAACAACTGAATTGAACGCTTAAAACACGATTAAAGAAGGAAACAGGGTTATCGCAGAAAAAAATACATGAAACGTGACAGAGTTGCTTCTTTAAACCCAATGAAGAACGCAACGACAAGAAATTAAAATTGATGGCTTTACCTGTCAATATCAAGAAATGAACAGAGAGAATGATTAGTATAATCCAACTTTGTAAGGCTTCTTTAAAGGAGAAATTGAGTACAAGGAAAGGGGCGAGGTTCTTCATTCAACCACGGAAGGAGATGAAATAAATTTTGGGTTTTCCCAACTCTACATGGAATCCGTTTGTTGCTGATGAACAGATGAAGGGGTAGAAAGGGTCGAGGACTAAAGAGTCGACGACGAACACTGTAGTGAGGATCGACGACGAACTCAAGGGCTTACGGTGACAGGCGACGACGTGAAGGTGAAGCGATGATGAATATGGACTGCTTGGAGAAACCTCTGATCTGATGGTTGGTACAACTCGCCGGATAGCAAACCTAGCAAGCACTGTTGCTCACCAGTTCTTCCTTGGTGTTACCAACACGCCGATAAAGATGATAATGACGGTGATTGTATACCCTAAATCTAACGGTTGAAGGCGATGATGACTCAAGGTCGTATGATGGGGCCGAAGGTCGATGGAAGCGGGAGGGATACGATTTTGTGGGTGTCGAATGAAGAGCATAGGGGGTTTTAAATAAAGTAATTTTGCCTAATTAAAGGGTAGATGATTTAACTAATTATTTATTAAAATTAAATAATACTTGACCCATATTAATCCCTACATCCACACAATATTTGTTGATCCACATTTGAACCTACCTCTCTCTCTTTCTCTCTCTCTCTCTCTCTCTCTCTCTCTCTCCTCTCTATCTATATATATATAATATATAATATATA